GATTGCGAGTCGAGCGCCTTAACCACCTGGCCATGCCGGGCCTACTTTTATAGAACGAGTAAGAAGGAAGCTGAAATGTGAACTTAATAAAATTCATTCGAGAAACCAGCAGCACTTCATATTGACATGTAAAGAATGTGTTTATTAGATTTCTCTTGCTATTTGTCTGCTCTAATCACATAGCTGTCTAATAATGTTAAACATGAAGTGGATGTTTACTTCGGTAGCACGACACTAAACATGAAATTGCCTGCCGATTAATTGTGAAATTGTATAGCTAATATACTGAATTAAAATAATAAATTATTGTTTAGAATTATTGTGAACAAACTTAAATTCTTTACTTTAAAAATATTCATATAAACTAAAGTATAGTCTTATTATAACATTCTCCTAGTGGGTTATGTTTATGGACTTAGAACGCTAAACTTCGGAGTTTGATTCCTCGCGGTAATATGCCATAGATATCCCACTATGTAGCTTTGCACTTAAATAACCAACAACAGCATTGTGATAATGAAGAATTTATGCATTTGTGAAATGGTTTTCACTTGTCCGTGTGTCTGCTAATGTTACAGTAAGATTAAGGGTTAATTTTACACAAATAGGAATCAGTAAAGTTTCTGGACCAAACCGAGAGTAAAGCTTTCTTTTTGTGCTTCTTAATTAACGTCATATTCACATAACGGCTTATCGACGTTTCTTTTGATTAGGCAAGACCAATATATTTGTTGATGTATTTGAGGAAGAAGATACCTGCAGCTCTGTTTTTGCTGATTTTGGAACATTACAAAGACAAAATGTCAGGATGTAGGTAAGATGTAAGAATGAGCACGAGCATGATGAATTCGCTCAGCCGATGTTGTGAGACTCAATCAATAAATCCATCAAGCGTTTAACTCCTATCCAAAGGTAAAAGTCAGATTGCAACTAGCCAAATGTAAGTTTATCGCCCTGCCATATGAACAAAAATACTACTCTATCGTCGTTACTTTCGAATGTTGTGATACCAGGATAATTTCATATGACAAAGACGTCTTCAATGTCTCTTAGCTCTTTACAGACGAGTCTAAGTTCTTTGTTCATTTCCAAGGTGTTCATCTTTACCTGTGAAGATAGCCTCAAAAGTTCAATGACGATTGCACTGTAGTTAAAACTGCAGCTTCAAGGGCGACTATCGACAATATGAGAAGGCATCTACTAGAAAAATACGTCTTTCACTGGTGCCATTTAATACGATTTTATTTTGATGGAGAATAAATTATTCTCCATGATGGACGTACCATCACAGCTTATTGTGAAAAAAATGAGTCAAAATTTGCTCTGCAACTCAACACTATAGAATAATCTTGGCTATCATCAGAGATATATTTTACATTTAGTTCACCCATGAAACATACTGTATATGGTGTAGAATGCCTTTAAATTGGCAAACATTCTCCAGAACCTTATATAAATGCTCAAAAAAGTATATAGCGACGTTGCAGGACTGCTATTAAAGTTGACATGAATATTTTTATAACACCGATGAAAGAGGCTGTTTTGGAGAGCAGCTCCATTGTTCATAGCTTCGTGTGTTATGATCTTCTTTAAGAACACAGTTTATTTACGTTTTAATAGATAATTATGCACATAACATATGGTAATAATTTATTGATTCCTAATTTACATACTCTAAAGAGAGTTATAGTGTATCTTGTCATTTATTTAATAACATCACGTTATTGCCCTGTTTATGCTACAAAAAAGAAATATACGTTAAGAATGTGATTTATAGAGCACCTTGTCGTGTATCTTGTAATACTGGTTTATTGTCCTGCACATGTTGCATATGTACTTTGTAACGTATTTAGTCAAGCTTCTAGTTACACCGTTTATTATCCTACAAGTATTATGAATAGGACTTTGCGGTTATATTTGTATTGATAACATCCTCCTGCGCCTATTGCATAAAGGATTGTGGTAACCTTCTGGTTTGTAGTATACTTAGTCATGTATATACACACATCAGTTTGTTGTTCTGCACATGCTGTAAAGAAAATGAACGATTTATGTGTGCTGATGCAGTTGTGAATCGTTCAAAAAATCGAGTCATGACACTACGGACAACATGTTTAACACAATCATATTTGGTTCAAGGCGAACTTCCGACTATTCGACAGTGAAATATTGCCACGAAGGGCTGAAGGAAGAAAGATATTCGTACAGGACTATTTTGGAAAATGAAAATCAATATTATAAAAAAAAAACAACTATGACCGACAAACTTAATGTTGATAAAATATTAAACAAGGATTTAAAGTTGGCTAAGGATTACTAACCAAAAGTTAAAAAACTTCAGCCAAGCCTCAAAATTAATGATTATCTTTAATGATTTGTTTGGTTACTGTTAATCGCAAAGTCTAAACCACGGGTATCGAAGTCCGAATTTTACCATCATAAGCTTAAATGCGCTAATTTTAAGATGTTCAAAGAAACAGGGATCACAAAAATAACAAGCGTATATCTAAATACATATTTTTCCTTCTAATGAATAAAATGTATGTTATATTTCAATACTTTTAGTTTGTAAAAGTGTAGAATAATGTGTCACCGCTCTATTAGCAGTCCAAGTTATCTGAAGTTTACCTTCAGTTTGTAATTTTAAGTAAGCACTAAATGTTTCTTGGATGATTAAATTCTCACCTGAACAACACAGTAGCACCTTGAACTGTGTATATGGGTTCTACAGAAGGGATGTTGATACTTTTCATGGGTTTTCGTCGCCTAGGTTGATATTTGTAGTCTGGATGTTTCTTCTTATGAATGACTCTAAGTCTCTCGGCTTCTTCAACAAATGGACGCTTTTCTTCGTCGCCTAGCTGCCTTTGAAAATAAAATAAAATGTGTAAGAAATAGAAACTAACATATTAATGTGAATTACTGAGCTTTCAAACTTTCTAAATCAAAAACCAATTATCTTCATTGACTCTAGTCTAGTAAGTAAACAGTGGTGAATACCCTCACCCGTATCCAGATTCTGGTTCAATTTATTATTATAAATCATAAACCAATTATCTTCATTGACTCTATTCTAGTAAGTAAACAGTGGTGAATACCCTCACCCGTATCCAGATTCTGGTTCAATTTATTATTATAAATCAAAAACCATTTATCTTCATTGACTCTATTCTAGTAAGTAAACAGTGGTGAATACCCTCACCCGTATTCAGATTCTGGTTCAATTTATTACTCAAAAATATTTCTTTCCATTTAGCGAGAATTGTGGCCGTTTTTGTGCACACGTATGATCAAGTTGTATCCGGTTATCTGTTCAATAAATAAAGTGTTTTCGTTTTACTGTGAAACTTGTGTCCAGTCTCCTTTATCAGGTCAGAATTCACTTTAACTCTATAAAACATTTTATACCGAATAGTTTTTAGGAGCGGTTACTATACTTACATATAAGAAGTCAAAGTACCACCATTTCCACAACCTTGCACTGTTGAATCAACATTAGCAGATTTATCACGTGGTTTTTCTCGATGTTTTACTCCAATACCAGTAGAGAAAAGAACGAAACGTAACTCATCTCACCAAATCATAAGCCTCCATTTATCGATTATGTACAGCGTGTGTGATAAGCACCGTTATAGCCATGCTTTCCTATTTACGTATCAGATTCACGGTTTCTCTACTAATTGCTGAGTGTCATGTGTCTTTGAAATGTTATTCGTCTGTAGTTTAAACTTTAACCTGTTTTATAGATAAAAAATTAAAATAAAAATGTTATTCGTTTAGTTTTAGAAGTATGCTTGTTTGCATTTGTACCTATAAGTTTCCTATCAAAAGTTGATTTAAAAATTTGAATTTGATGCGTCATTTTTATATGGTCATCAAGCCTGATCACAGACGACACAGCTACAAAGATGTAGCCACCTAGCCTGAACACAAACGACACAGCTACAATGATAATATGGTCACAAAGCCTGAACACAGGTGATACAGCTACAAAGATATGGTCACTTAGAATGTTTTTCTGATCAAAACTAGTTACCTTTATAAACTAGAAACAAGTCACCCATATATATTATAAATTAAAATCAATTCAGCAATGAATATATTCATTTAATGTATTATTCTTACTTATAATAATAAGAATTCACTGTTTCGACAAGTGAGTGCCCTCACTATTACCGATAGTTTCAGCTGTAATCTAATTAACATCTAATTAGGAGGTTTAGGTTAGTCCTATATCCATATACCAAGCTAACAATACAAATCAATCTTCATAATAAAAATTGTATAATAATCAACATTAAAAAGAACAAAAAGAGACGTATTAACAATTCCAACCAATACTTTTAATGAAGTAACATTTAGTATATATAGAGTTTGATTTATACCAAAACCACTTTGGAATAAAATCCCAGATTTTAGCGTTGTAAGTTCGTAAACTTACCGCTGTCACACGGAAAGTTTGTTTGGAATTAAGCACAAAGCTACGCAATGGGATATCTGTGCTCTGCCCACCACGGGTATCGAAACCCGGTTTCTAGCACTGTAAGTCTGCAGACATACCGCTGTGCCACTGGGGGTCACACGGATAGACAAGAAATAGCATATAATTTATTTACATCTATATAAGTAAACGTCAATACGTGTGTGTGTGTGTGTGTATCTGTTCCTTATACGTTTCCATATTTCTTGATCAATCAGCACCTAACTTTACACAGTGATACAGGATGACATGAGGAAGGTCATGGGGGGTTAGGCCCCCACCCCTATAATTTCATATCTAATTTCGGGAAAACTACCAATGTTGTATATCCCTCAGCATTAGAACGAAACATGTCACCACTGTTGTTAGAATTCTTGAAAACAGTATGTCTTTATTTTCGGTATTGGTACGCTTATGTATTCTTTTATGTTTATTATGTTAAAAAACAGATGCGCAATTTCCTATCCTTTGTTACGAACTGGTTTTTGATTTCATCCGTCCAGGTACTCCTGCTAGTAATACATAAAACACTAGTTATGGGTATTTGAAATAAACTTTATGTAGCATATAAACTGTGCTCTGAACGATTCAGCTGGAATATTTTTTTTTATTTGTATATATATATATATATACAAATGCCCCGTGAGCTCAGAGATAAACCTGAGGGCAGATAATGCTAAAATTCAGAGCTCGGTCTCTGCAGTGTGCACAGCACAGATAGATCATTGAGCATATTTGTGCTTAATACCAAACAAACAAAATACGTACAAGTTAAGTAATAAGAACTATGTTGATTCACTCAAACTTCAGATTTATAAAGAAAATTTAAATAATGGCGGGTTTTATTTTATTTTTGTTATAGTTAATATACAGATGATTTAGCTTTTCCCTGTGGATAAAAAGCACCAACTACAAGAAAGTGATCACTATTTATAAAATTACACTGTATCATATTTATGTCACTTCTTGTTCCCATCGTATTACACCACTCTGTTGTCACTTGCTCTTTATCAAAGTGTAACATCAACAGTGTGTGTTGTTCACCAGTTAGTGTTATGCCATAGTATAAAACTATAGAAAAGGTACATCGTCATATTTCATTAATTAAAATGCTTTTAATTCGTGCAATATGACATTGTTGTTTTTTATAATGCTATATCGATTTTTGCATGAAGTGGCTTTTTGTATAAACATACTATATCCCAGTCTTTATTATTTGTTTAATAATACACCAGTAAATCATTATCCTGTGTTTTGTTGCTGGTATAGTAACAACATATCATTATGTTTTTGATACATTAAAATACCGAAACCGACAAATGATACAATAACATATTGTTACGTATCTGCTCGTTTGTTAATTTCCGGTATAAAATCCTTCCGAGGAACTTCAACGATAAAAGTCCTTCCTTAATTAAAACTAGTTTATTTTTTCTCGATACAACTTTATAATACAAATAATTTCCACATTTAATACATTTGCAATCTCGATAACAAAACACGCACTTTATTTTACCGTCACTACTGCTCGCTTGAGTCAATTATCTGTCTCTATATCTATCTATCTGCAATTATTTCTCTTAACATTGACTGGCTCGACCTCCTGGCACACTTAGAGAAATTGACTACTGTCATGGGTAGTACTTGATGACCTGCTACTAGTGACCTTCCACTCCTCACATCCGCTGGCCTGGATGGGTCTTCCACTACTTCCACAAACATCGGGCTTCCTTGGGAATGTTCTTTTATTCTACCCCAAATTATCTTCTCTGACATTGTGGGTATTGCAGTTG